TTCACCATACGTTTGTTTAGACATGGGCATTACGGTATTCGCCCGTATTAATTACCTTGTACTACCCATTTTCAATATAATTCATTTCTCCAAGTGTGAAATTTCTTTCTGTAGTATATTTTACAGACTGCGTGTGATCATTACGTACATTCAAGATATACTCAGCAGCATAAAAAACGTCATACGAATTCAATATTAGATAGGCACTGTAATCAAATCATTACAGAAACGGACATAATAAGCAGATCAAAAACATTTCAATGAATAGTGAGTGAGTTAGTTCAGTTTTACGCCGCTTTTAACCACGTTCCAGCTATATCACGGCGGGGGACACCAGAAATGGGCTTCAGACATTGTACCTACGTGGGGAATACATCAATGAATAACTCAGCACAATTTCAAGACATGACGTGAACGTTTGCAGTCCATTCAGACCCTTGACTTCAGTATCTAGTGTGACCACCACGAGCGGCAATAACTGCAGCACAGCGTCTATGCATGAAGTGCACCAGTCGATTGATGAAGGCCATTGGCACCTTGAACCACACTCTGAGAAAAGGCCTGGCACAATAAATCGGCTGTGTTCGGCCTTGGTATGACATTATTCTGTCTCCTCTGAATTTCATCCCAAAGATGTTCAATTGGGTTTAAATCAGGACGAAGGGCCGGCCACTGCATACTGTTGACACTGTTCTGCTGTAGGAAGTCTCGTGTAGCTCTGACAGTGTGGGCCCGGGCGTTATCATGCTGGAATATATTGTTCCAGTGACGTGCGAAATGTGGTATGACATGGGGTCTGAGAGGTCGGTCGATGTAGCGCACCGCTGTGATGCCATCTCCTCGACCAAGGTTCTGGAACACCACAGGACCCACTCTCTGGTTCAGGCCTATTCCACTCCATACCATGATGTTTCCACCTCCCCATGAGTCTCTTTCCATATCACATTGGTCTGAGTAACGCTGGCCACGTCATCGCCATATTCTTGTTCTGCCATCTGCAGTTGATACGCAGTACCGACTCTCATCTGTGAACAGAACAGTTCTCCATTGCCTGTATCGCCAGTTTTGGTGTTGTAGGGCAAACTGTAGACGTTCACGCCAATGACGAGGGGTGAGGATAGGTCCACGGTAAGGTCTACGGCGATGGAGGTTCCCGCTGTTAAGACGTCGGCGTACTGTATCAGTACTGATTGGTCTTCCGTGTGTTCCCACTACCTGGCGTGCTGTTTCGGATGCCTGCATGAAGGGATTATGTACATGCTGTCGCACAACATGGCGGTCTTGTCGTCTTGTGGTGACCCTTGGTCTGCCAGTACGGGGACGAGCATTTGTGTTGTTGGTGGCCCGGAAACGTTGCTGCAGCCTGTAAATGGTCCGAACGTTGACCTGGAAGTGATTGGCAACGGCTTGTGCAGTGTGGCCAGCTTCAAGTATTCCTAGCGCCTGGTTCCTCTCAGCTGTCGTGAGTCGCGACATCCATCCTTGTGATCTGATGTGAATGTTTCATCCAGGTTTGGGGGTGCATTTTATAGGGCTGGTCCTTGTGAACAGCACGTGCAGCATGAGTTGCATGAAAAACATGGAGAACACCGTACCATCTCCGAGATCAGGTTGCGTTTATGAAACGATTTCCTGTGTTCCATTCTGAGTTAGGGAAGAAATGTCTTTGCTCAAGTAAATTCGGAGATGTTGTCAAAAATATACAATCAAAGCATTAAATGAGTTAACATTTATCCGTTTCTGCTAAGGAAAATTCCAAACTGACGTTTCTTTTGCTGCTTAGTATACTTTAGCAAGCGTAAATCATCATACTATACACGGTCACAGCAAAAACTATCGTTTTGGTGGATTGGGACGTTATCTACAGGTATGTTCAACCTACAACCGGCTTGGTACTAACCGTTGTATTACACAAATAAGTCTCTCAGTGTCCAGCTTCATAACAGCGTCTTTCCAGCAAAACATCAGTTCGGTTCCAAAGTCAGTTGGACTATTTGATCAGCAATGGGCAGTGAAGTTAATGGAAGACAATTTCCGCCAGTTCGGACTTTGGGGCTTGAGGGATAGTCTTTCTAAACATGTACAACTCTTAATGGGGATTTCTTTTCAAATTAATTGGGAACATATGTACAATAGCATTATTTAATACAATTTGTTGAAGTATATTAGTTCATCGAAGTTCCTGTACTTTGCTTGACAGGGTTATGGGGATGTTTTAGGTTGGTTATTATTGGTCGCCCATTGACAGCCTTTGAATACATTCACATTATATGAGGATGCCTCCTTCTTACCTCAATTCGTGACACTTTCACAGACTATGGACACACTTCAATTCGTGACTTCCTTCTTTTTCAATGCTAAAAGACAATAATTCAGGCAAAGAAAATTTGCTTTTCAGAAAATACAGTGTTTGGTATGTGTAGATATTCAAAAAAAATAACCTGAAACTCCTTGGTGAAGGTATTAAGGGATGTGACATGGGCTGGTGGTTGATTAATGAGGACGTTTTTGATTGTCTTTGCATGCATCTTAACTATGAATAACGTCTAATATATAACGCATCTAGACCGTCAACTCTTCAAGGTCACTCAAAACAGAAGTATGATTCTAAGTTACATGCAAAGTTTCATTAGGATGCAGATATCCCGTTCATTATGTTTCAATATTCCACACAATATTCAACTTGGAAAATGTAGGACGAAACAATGATGGATAAAATAATGTTAGCGTGGTGAGAATTCATCTAGACGTGTTCTTGTATTCTCCTTTAATCCTGTCTGAAGTACCGGTACTTTCATAATCTTATCACTGGTCTCAACATGTTTCTTTAACAGGGAAGGTATTGATTACTTGAACTTGGTCGCTTTCTGTTACATTGCTGTTTCGTGGGGACCGAAGATATATATTCTTACATCAAGATTTGCGTAGCTATATCTTCCTTTTTCTGCCACTAAGTCTTGTCGATGCTGTTAATCAAGAAGATTGACACTTTCTTATCAATGAGATATGCCTTTGAATACCAATCGCATATCAGAGCTAGGCACCATGAGCATGGTAAATGTACGTCGATCTTACCTCGTGAGTTCATTCTCACTTGCAGAAATCGGTGATTTAATGACAGGACCAGTATGTCTACACGTCCTCACTTAGCTGTGCACACACATCTTTTTCTCTACGAACAAATATTGTAATATCTACACCAATATATACACAATGTATATATATATATATACATATATATATATATATATATATATATATTCTCTCCCCAAAAAGAAACGCATAATGAAAATAGCAATTTCATGTAGCAATGAATTAAAACGTGATTCATTTTACAAAAGGTTTTGCTCTGTTTATGAGTCCTATGGTGTTTATGTTTGGAAACATCACAACAAAACGCACCATCCGTAAAATACCCGTATTTAACAGCATGATTTTCAATTTCGGCATGTAGTGTCACAGCATACACAATTCACATGCAAGTTGGGGATCAGATAGTCTCAATGAACACATTTCAACAAATTTATTTAAACTAATCCGTTACATTTAGCTGGAAATGTAGCTATGGGATTTAAACATGACAACGTGCGGTTAGTATGTCGAATCTACGTCTTAGTATGAGTGATGCAAGAAGTGAATCGAAGTCAATTAAATAAATCAATAGTTAGAGTTGAATGTGTTCTAAATCGCTACTGCATTATCAAACCACCAAGATGGCCTTTGTATTCGTTGTGACGTATAATGGTGTGTTTGCCTTCACTCCAATCGCTTCTGCTGCTATAGGAATTTTTTTTAACTATCTCTCATTTGCAATACCAAGGATGCTTAAATAATTTGATTTTGTTGATTCCATTCTCCCCCAAATCAAATCTGTAATAATAAACTTTCGAGTTTGTGTCCTCGTACACAATTTCTGCTACAAATGTGTGACGATACCAGGATCATATTAAGTTAAAAATATGTAAAATTGCATTTCCAACACTTCTTGTTTATTATTTCAATCATGCACATTGTATTATATGAAAGCTCTGTATGCACGTTCTTTTCTAAGTATTCATCAGTATTAATGGAGACGAGTGCATTGTTAAAGAGAGATACCTTTATGTCCCCTAGGGGTTCTCCGGAGAGAGTGAATCAGTGTGTGTGTAAATGTTCTATTATACAATTTTTCATTACATCAAAGTACATTTGTGTCGACGTATTCTCTACAACAGAGACAAATGAATGTACAGCCTCCCATGCTCCCTGTGATGAACAAGCTGACTGTACAAATACACCTGGATCCTACAACTGCACATGCAAGCCTGGCTATGCTGGAGATGGAAACACTTGCACAGGCAAAAATAGACGAGACTAACACGTGGTTACTCCGATTTGATATCAACATCTACTTATTGTTTTTTGATAATCATCAACATATTTAGGTGCAGTTAGTCTGATTAATATTGGTATAATTGCATGTGATGTGTGACATTAGTTGTAGGATTAGTAGCATCTGCAGTATTATTTGTAACAGCGGAGATATTAACTGCAGCAGTAGTAATAGTAATAGTGGTAGTAATAGCAGGAGAATCACTTGAGTAGTAATAGCAGCAGCAGTAACATCGTAATGGTAGTAGCAGTAGTAATGATAGAATCAGCAGTGGCAGTGTAAGTAGTAGTAGCAGAAGTAATACCAGCTAGCAGTGGTAGTAATAGCAGCAAATGTAGTAATAGCGGCAGCAATGGCAATGGTAGCAGCAGCAATAATGGTTGCAGCAGTGGTAACGGCTGTGGCGGAGGTGGAGGTATCGGAAAAGCTATAGAATAACAAATGTGTCGTGGTATCTCTTAATGAGATATGGAATGGAATGATCATAATAGCTTCGATAAATATGATGTCATATTGTCCGTGTTTGTTCATCCATAAACATACCGAACCTCGTGTTAAAAGTATATATTTTCACTGTTTCGAATTTCGAATTTAATTTTCAGTCCAACAATTATGTTTCCTCATTTTCCAGAGGGAGTGTGTTCTAAGGATGGGAAAGAATGCTTCAATGGAGGAAAATACGAAACAAGCAAGACTCCCACCACGTGTACTTGTGCAAGCGGTTACAAAGGAGCCACCTGTCAAAATGGTGAGGAAACATTTGTGAAAAGCATTAAATCTATGAAATCTTCAAACAACGTCAAAGTTATTTGATCAGGGTTTGATCCACAACCTTCCTAACGTTCTCAAACAATTGTTAGTTTAGAAATAGTGAGGAAGATTCTAGTAATGATTTAGTACCAAAATGGTGTCCGATGCAATTTCCATGTTCTAATTGTGAACAATTGACTTGCACTTGCGTGTGTTTGTGACTGCCGTAATCGATTGTGTAGGATACTCAAACGTTTTTGCGAACACCAGGTATGATCGTTATTTAATACTGGCACGTGATTAGAACCGGAATCGTACAATGTTTCTTTCTGCAATAATAGAGACTGGTTGTCCTCTCCTTTGGTGTACTATAATTATGGAATACTTTCGTAGATTAAATATATGTTATCCAACCCGAATAGAATAAGTCGAAGTTTAAACGTCATAGTGTTTATAGATATTAAAGAGTTTTAACGAAACTTGTTGACGAGTTACATGTAACAATCTTGAATACCCCTCACCACTGATATCCGTGATTCAAGCACTGAAAAAGAGCTTCCGGTTACTTGTTCTAATCAATGTTTATGTGTGTACTGTTGTCTGGCTGTACCTTTAACACTTAAATAGCGGGAGAATGCGATCACTCATAAGAAAAGTTATTATCATATACACATTAGTCTTCTGTTTTAACCGAATTGACAATATTAATAATCGATAAACATTTCCAAAAATATAAAGTAACAACTGAGAAAGGTACATGTAAAAACACCAGTAGTTGTTGTGTTATCCTCTTCGTTCACTTGAACGTAATGTTATTTTTTCTGTTATGTTAAGAAAGCAATTTCATTTTTTAAATTCTAGAAGTATACATGTACCTGTTTATATCTGGATTTATGTATTTTAAAAGTTTGATAAGGCCTTTGAGTTATGCAAAGGAAACAACTTCCACAATCATTTGAACTTGTTCTCCTGGAACTGGGGAAGATGAAGTGGAAAAGTTACCGATGGTAGATACAGATATATTTCACATAATATACATCTGTTTCATACATGAACGATAATCGGTTCACTTCTCTGTTTCAGCTGGAGGTACGGCGACAATTTCAGCATACCTGCTCTCTCTGACTGTTGTCACGTTTTTCGTCATCCAGTAAACGACCATTCCACGCTGACCGACACACCCAGTTTGAAACTGCGTTCTGCTATGTTTACAGCAAATCAAAGTATACTAAATTGTAAATCTTTAAAATGACTTGAGTTCAAAGATATTTACCATACAAGTAATTTGTTTTGTTATTTGGTTGTTTTTGTATACCCTTTGTTCGAATCAAAATCTGTATCAGTTTGCAGTGTTGCCTTTGTGTGTGTTATTATGGTAGAGCCATACCGTTTGATTCTTGTTATCATATAAAAGGTCAAATCTCCCTTCTTAGCATAAGGTATACATGTTGCGTTTATCATTGATTGATTAGATGTGTTTAAGAGACGAGAGGTTACAGTACTATCAGTCAGTATGCTATACAGGAGCTTTTAAGTGGATTTTCTTTTTCTGATGACATTTAACAACCATCCCAATAAACAATTTGAAAGATCCATGTACATTTCTCGAAACATATCTCGGGCCTGTCAGCCAGTGATTCTGATCCTAGTCTGCTTCATGACAATGTTATTACCTCACTGTAGGTAAGAAGACTAAATTCTCCCCTGGTTACCTTTAGGCCATTGATGACATGTTACTGATGACGTGGACCTGTCCCCCAGTGACCACTGACACAGAGTAAATGTCATCTACTTCTTATCTATAGTGACACTCACAATCACATGAAAGTCTGCGGATGTATAGTAATGTGTGTTTGCAACATTGGTAAGTCTTCCGAATAAATATTACCTGCACGTATCTCACTGTCGTTGAGTTCATATATGGGCGGTTGTAATAGGCCGTTGCCTGTTAGAAGTATGTTTAACATCCACGAACGCGTGGCACAAGAAAAAGCTAGGGACGATGGTACAAATGTGTGCATGTTATTCAACCACACAGATTTCACACCAGTAATGGGCTTCACACATTGTAGCCATGTGGGGAATCGAACCCGGGTCTTCGGCATGACGAACGAACGCTTTAACCACTAGACTACCCCACCGCCCGTTTCGTTGAAAGATGGCACATGGGAACACAAAGTGAGTCCGCTTTACCCGTTATAAGTTTGTCCGTTATATCCATGAATTGTACATGAATAAATATCCGGCACACGACCGACACAGAACAAAGTTCGTTAAATCTGTCAGTTTGTTATGAGCGTGTTCGTCATAAACGTAGTTTACTGTATTACTGTTTTGGATAGCTTTGAATGTTATTTTACATACAAACGTAATTTGAGGCTGTCCGCCCAGGAAAGCCACATTTCAAAAAATCATTTTGCCGGCAAAGCCACATTTCATTTTGAAGGGGAATTGCCGGCAAAGCCACATTTTCAATACGCAAACCAAGTAGAGAGTTACCGACTAGTTAAAAAACGCCCCTGATATATAGGTCGGTTTAAGAAGATCTCAAATAATGTTTCACCATGGACATGTGGAACCACACTGGGAATGATGGCCATTGGACTAATAACAACCTTGAGGGTTGGCATCACAAGAGCAACCAGTTAGCCCGAAAGTGCCACCCCAACATTTTTTGAGATTGTCAAACTATTCAAACGCGAACAATCAGTTATGGAAGTTGAAGTCATGAGCCGCTTCAAGACGCAAGAAATATAGAAATATTGTCAGCCGACTAAGGTCGCTGAAGACGCAGTTGGCAAATCAACATTTGACTGATGTAGAGTATGCAGACCACAAGCATACACATAGTATAGCCTTGTATAGTTCATTCTAAATGGAGCGGGTCGGCGACGTGGTCACAGGCTCTCGTGTTTTTGCGAGGATTAATGATTAAAAATATATTGTTTTTGAGATGACCCCCGACTCGAAATGCTTCACAGTACAATACATCATATAGTGTGAAGCATTTCGAGTCGGGGGTCATCTCAAATTTAGGTATACATTTTATAAAATCTTTAATCCTCGCAAAGACACCAGGGCCTGTGACCACGTCGCCGACCCGCTCCATTTAGAATGAACTATACCAGACCATACTATGTGTATGCTTGTGATTGATGCTGAGAATTAATTATGAGAATTGATGATGGTGTGAATTAAAAAGGAGTTATGTGAGTGTTACTATACTATGTTTGTTATGATTGTGAAACCTCCAGTGAATAAAACTGAAAATAAATGATCTATATCTTTGCTGTTCTATGTTAAATACGGTACCCTATTACGGGGCTTACAATGTTGTGATAGCATTGCCGCCAAAGCCACATTCCCCCGTTGTTCATCCGTGTCCTTTGCCGGGAACGCCACACGAAGTTCAGCCTGTTTTTTTTTCTCAAATGTGTCTTTGCCGGGCTGTCCGTGCAGCCTATAGAAGTACGCATTTCCCCTGCAGCCAATAAGCCGGTATCCTTTCATAACCCTGTGTACGATTAACGCCAAAGCTGTTTGCATTACAATGCAGTAATATCAGGACTTATAGAAGTGCAAGAAAGATCGCGTTTCTCAAATTTGATAATACCATGTGCACTTCACAGCTCACCCACACGTTATACTTCCTCGCCAGTATGACAAGAATAAGCTCCCCATATGCTGCAGATCTCATACCTGGGAACAACATTTGTAATCTGGAATGTTGTATCCCAAAGCGTTGCTGGCGTTATATCGGGGGAGTACGTGCGCGATCGGTGAGCACAAGTAGTTTCATCGGCAGGGCGGATGCCCAGTCACTGTCGTGAGAAGTTGTATTGACAATTGAAAACTGGAAGTTAAGTTATTTAAAAAGCAAACAAACATCAATATTATTTACCCGAGATCGTTGATACCACTTCAGATGCAAAATCAATTGCCTTTATAACAAAAAATAGCAAGCGAAAATTCAGTAAGATCCTCGTCTGCTGGTGACAGGCAATATTTAAATAGAAAGCCACGTTGTCACAACAGTCCCTCGCAGTGCGGAGCGAAAAGTATGGCTCATCGTCGAAAACCCATACAAAGTCCACGGATTTGGCGAACAGCAACAGTTTCGCCGATGCGATGTCATCAACCTTATTTTTGTAGGAAACACTTGATATTTTTGTGTGAAATAGATGAATTTATCCTTTATCACCCAAGGTTAGTAAAATTAAAACTTCAAATGATATTACAGATAAAAATTACGTTTTTGTTTTACATCGTCGAAAACCCCTGATACCGGGATACTGACTAACATTATGGAAGCCGACATAATGAAGAGATACATTGTGTTTGGGTCTTTTGATTTCGTGAATGTAATAAACAGTCATCAACTGAAGTGCGTAAATATATTTGATTCATTAAAATGTATGTGTAAAACCATATACGACCAATTTCTCATTCAGATTCATAAAAATCTCTTTGTAACTGATCATGTTGATGATTCGTTTGTATATCTCTCAAGTACCTCATGATTGTCTTTATAACAGTGTTATTCACAAACTGACTTCACTCAGATTGATAAGTGTACGACCTTTCCATCAAAGGAGTTACTGTATGGCCCGCCTCTGCTGCACTGAACCAAAAGTAAAATTAATACTTACAGTCCAGGTAACGTCTCCCCCGACACCTGCAGGTATCACACAACCATGTAGCGACATGTCTTGCTCAAACACTCAATACATGCAAGTCTATTTTCTGTCAATCAATAACTCTAATGGTCTTGTTTGTCACAAATTTACAAATACCCCCGTATCTAAATACTACAGACTCAACCCTTATCCTCCCCCTGGTGTTTTATGTTTGTCTGCGCGACACTGTTGAGGTTTGCCACACACCAATACAATGTTGTCAGTGCGTGTAAGTGCATTACTACAGACACTTTAAACTTCACACGGAAGAAAGCACGCCAGGGGATATGCAATGATAACACAATACAACCAACCACACACACACACGCGCGCGCGCGCACGCACACACAAACACACAATAAGGTGTTTCTTTTGGATAGTACGATCCTCGTTTTACGTTACTGTAGAGTAGGGTCCACGTGCAATGTTTCAGTTTTTTGGGAGAACACGATCCACGTGCAATGTTTCAGGTTTTTGGAGAGTATGATCCACGTGTTATGTTTCGGATGTTTGCAGAGTGTGATACACGTACAATGTTTAAGGTGTCCAGAGAGTATGATCCACGTGCAAGAATTCAGGTGTTCGGAGAGTATGAGCCACGTGCAATGTTTCAGGTGTTCGCCGAGTATGATCCACGTGCAATTTTCGGGTTTTCGGATAATATGAGCCACGTGCAATATTTCCAGTGTTTGGAGTGTGTGGTGCACGTGTTATGTTTCGGGTTTCGGAGAGTATGATCCACGTGCAGAGTTTCGGGTGTTTGGAGAGTCTGAACCACGTGCAATATTTCCAGTGTTTGGAGTGTGTGGTGCACGTGTTATGTTTCGGGTTTCTGAGAGTATGATCCACGTGCATTGTTTCAGGTGTTCGGGAAGCATGATCCACGTACAATGTTTCAGATGTTTGGAGATTATGATCCACGTGCAGTGTGTCGGGTTTCGGAGAGTATAAACCACGTGCAGTGTTTCGGAGAGTATGATCCACGTTCAATGTTTCAGGTGTTTGTAAGGTGTTTCTTTTGGATAGTACGATCCTCGTTTTACGTTACTGTAGAGTAGGGTCCACGTGCAATGTTTCAGTTTTTTGGGAGAACACGATCCACGTGCAATGTTTCAGGTTTTTGGAGAGTATGATCCACGTGTTATGTTTCGGATGTTTGCAGAGTGTGATACACGTACAATGTTTAAGGTGTCCAGAGAGTATGATCCACGTGCAAGAATTCAGGTGTTCGGAGAGTATGAGCCACGTGCAATGTTTCAGGTGTTCGCCGAGTATGATCCACGTGCAATTTTCGGGTTTTCGGATAATATGAGCCACGTGCAATATTTCCAGTGTTTGGAGTGTGTGGTGCACGTGTTATGTTTCGGGTTTCGGAGAGTATGATCCACGTGCAGAGTTTCGGGTGTTTGGAGAGTCTGAACCAAGTGCAATGTTTCAGGTTTTCGGAGAGTATGATCCACGTGCATTGTTTCAGTGTTTGTAGAGTATGATCCACGTGCATTGTTTCAGGTGTTCGCCGAGTATGATGCATGTGCAATTTTCGGGTTTTCGGATAATATGAGCCACGTGCAATATTTCCAGTGTTTGGAGTGTGTGGTGCACGTGTTATGTTTCGGGTTTCTGAGAGTATGATCCACGTGCATTGTTTCAGGTGTTCGGGAAGCATGATCCACGTACAATGTTTCAGATGTTTGGAGATTATGATCCACGTGCAGTGTGTCGGGTTTCGGAGAGTATAAACCACGTGCAGTGTTTCGGAGAGTATGATCCACGTTCAATGTTTCAGGTGTTTGTAGAGTATGATCCACGTGCAGTGTTTCGGGTTTCGGAGAGTATGATCCACGTGCAATGTTTCAGGTGTTTGTAGAGTATAAACCACGTGCAGTGTTTCGGAGAGTATAAGCCACGTGCAGTGTTTCGGGTTTTTGGAGAGTGAGATCCACGTGCACTATTTCAGGTGTTTGGAGAGTAAGATCCACGTGCAATGTTTCGTGTTTCTGAGAGTATGGGTCACGTGCAATATTTCAGGCGTTCGCCGAGTATGATCCACGTGCAATTTTCGGGTTTTCGGAGAATATGATCTGCGTGCAATGTTTTGGGTGTTTAGACAGTATGGTATTCCAGAACTGGTCAGGTGAGCTACGAAGAGGCACAACAAATATGGGCGAATCCGCATTATCAATGGTTAGAGTTGCGAAGGGAGCTAACCCAAGACACAGACTGGAGGTATGCTGATAAGTTTCGTATCCAGAAACGCATGACGCTGAGAAAACGATAAACTGCGTCCTCCAAGAGTCAACTCATTACTATAACTATATAATCTAGCGAGTCATTTCCATCTATATGAACAGCAGCATGTTCCTTTACGATTGTTAGACGTGTTTGTCAATATTACTGATTGTGGATCACTTACTAGCTGGTTGTTAGAGGGTGTCGGATGTGGGCCTACTCTAGTCGAATATTATTGAATCCAAGAGCATCATCAGATGTTGAAGTAACCAATATTTGCGACAGGAAAGGTGGGCAATTTCATTAACCCTTTAAAAGCATATAAAGCGTTTTCTACATACGATATGAGCAACCAAACTGTAGATCTGAAACAGAAATGTGGGCCCACATATTTTTCTCTGTAGATACTTATGTGAGTGGGCCCACATTTTTAAAATATGAGTAAAACTACAAATGTTGAATTTAAAAACATATGCTGACGGTGGTTATGCAAAAGAACGAAAAACGGCCTCACCAACAATCATGTAGGCATCAAAGTAATTTCTAAAATTAGACTGAGGAAATAGACTCTTCCTACTTTCAAGAATTACAAATGAATAAAAATTGAAGTGATAAAAACAACCGAACACGTGCGTAAAGATTTTATTCATTGATAACTTAAAGAAGCAGCATTTTATTTTACCCAAACATGTTTAAGGCTCACAGCAGCTGTCACTAGGCAGTTGACATCAGTAGTAGTTATATAAATCACCTTTTGTGTTTCGTTTTCGTCAGTGATCAAAATGCAGTTTTATCGAAATTCTGTTTCATAAAATTTGAAAACAGCAATGAGTCAACCGTGTGTCCTGATTATTACTATAATTGAGTGTGATTATGTTGATGGTAAGTTTATCATATTTTACACTGAAGCTCTTCACGCAAGTTAAATTACAGCAATATTCTCGGAACCCGTCAGCAACACATATGTCCTTTCTTACGCAAAATGATCAACAGTGTGTACAGTCATGCATGGTGCAAATACAGTCAAACACCATTGTGTCGAAGATTGCTTCGAGTTATCAGAGCTTCGACAAAACCGCAAAATGATAACTAAAAAATTAAACAAGCAGGGGCAAAGCTTGTATTTTGAGACAGGCACATTAAAGATCTACACACTGGCGATTGACTGCATACCTGTAAATGTTTCGAGTTATACGAAGTTCGATACACCTGTTAAAGTATTACTAAAGAATGATGAAGCAGATATCAAACTTTTACTTCGAGACAACCGGAAATTCGACTGATTAAAGATCTACACATAGGTGTTTGAGGGGATTTCCAAAAGACTGGTATACACGATACGTTCAGACTGTCATGCTCTCTTGTACTTTCAGTTCAGGCGAGCTACGGTGTCTTGTCCCAACGTCCGGCGCATTCGAAAACACGAGGAAATGAAAATTTCAAAAAATTAAAATTGGCGCTACTCTTACAGAACCAAAGGTTAATCTTGTTAATCTACAATGGGTCCTTCAAGCTATATTCATACCAAATATGACAGAAACAAAACAATGCGCCATACTGTTTAATACTGCGAGTTGATATTAAAAACGGCATTTGACTTCGTGGTAGGTCTTGATGAAACACTGTGTTCAACTACAGGCTCTCTGGATCGCAGAAGTATACTTTGAACTGAAACATAAGAGCAAAATGCACTACTGGTTGTTCGTTCTCGTTGTTTCACCAGACAGTGTCACTTTGTATTTTCTCCCATAACACTCGGTCGATCTAAGTGATCTGTTAAAGAAGCGTTAATTCTAATACGTCAGCTCAAGCCAATAATATCGATTTATGTTTCAGCTAAGTAAATATAAGCTAATTATCATATATTAAAGTTTACACCTGAAGAGATCATTAGAAATGTATAATTAGGAGCAGGTAAACGACATACTTCTTCCAGGACGCCGTGGAAGAAATCCATGCCATCACCGTACCCGACCTGCAGTGCACACTGGCTTTTCCCGATGTTACCTGCAAAATATTCAAGAAATGATTAATGGCCGACACCTATATTTTTCTATGTAATCGATGTTTTTCATGAACAAACAGATAGGTGGTTCCTGTTGATCCTAGACCTAACTGACAACGGCTAGATTAAGAATGGGCACTTCACGGAAAGAATCACCTCATTCGGATGTTTGATTTCGTACAAAACAAAAGTAATGCTTCACATGAGTATCTTTTCACATGTGAGCGCCTATTATGTTGTATATTTCTCGGTGAGCAGGTAATACCACGAGGGTACTGCACAATGTTCAATTGTCAGGATCGCTATATGGCTGTAATATTGCCGATGCGATGTATAATTTTAACTCACTCACTCAATTGTCAGGAATGCTAATATCAATAAACATATTGTAAACACCGCAGCAGTTAACAATGGTGATCAGGGGTCCCATGTTTACATTCAGAGCACATGTTAGTAGAAAGAGGTTCAACGATGTGCCCCTATACTATGTTAGAGGTTATTTTGATAAGGGATTATTCTGAAGGACCATCTACTCCAAATGTTCGTACCATCAAATGTCCTCTGTAATCTGCGGTTTTTGACTTCAACCTTCATCAGTCCATCCTTGACGATCAGCTTCACCTCATTCAAAGACGTGGTGGCCTGAAACGTACACCCCACAAAGGATAGGATAATGGCAAGGATGACAAAGACAAGAAAAACACCCAGCTACCAAGACGACAACTTCAGTATGAAAACACAATTCGAAACGGATAATATTAATTCGTAACTACCCCTTGGCTATATCGATAGTCCATTTTGTTTCCGGGATTCACAGTGACTAACGACTTTCAATGAGATATATAGGCATGTGATGGCAGGAGTAGCCGCTCAGCTACATGCCAGCTTCTCAGGTGTCATTGGCCATGCACCAATGTTGCAGTAAGGCCAGGAAACTAGAAGTGTGCTTCACAGGTGACCCTTGACAAATCGAATTCGGACTGAGACGCCATGGGCAACTTAAACCCCAGCCCCACCTAGGTACCCCCATCCCTCACAACAACCCAAGATACGCTAGCAACGACCACAAACAAATGCGTAGGATGCCAGGCTATACACCTTGGCCAAATATTCACAACATTATGGCAGGGTGCAGGTATCATTCCTTTATGAACACGATATGATGGAGTTTTTAATACTCACTCTGTACGATACATTGAAAGTATGCGTAACGTTGTTGCTATTGACAACACGAAACTGCACGGTTGACCGCTGAGTGGTGATGTAGATGCTGCCGCCATGCCCGCAGTCATCGTTGGTGACGATAGCCTGAGCTCTGCTTGTAGCCTGAGTGCGTTTGAACGAAAATGAGATGATCAGAGTCTTCCCGAAATGCATGTTGGAGAACCGGAGGATCCGGAGTTGGGTGTTGTTGCTGAAGACGCCATGGCCACTGTTGGTAGTTACAAAACCAGTGTTTTGTACATAGTGGTGGTTAGTCGAATGGTCGTTCACGTCACTGTTGAAAGGAAGGTAAACCTCCGCCTGGCAGACTAAAATGAAATTCATTTCGTTTTGTTTTGTATCCACATCAGACAAAACTGCCATAACTTGATGCATGTGTATCATCTTTCGTAAATATAATTACAGTTGCGAGGATATCACGTTAAAGGCACAATGTCACACCACAAAAATAACAATGCATTGCTCTCAATAATACTAACTATCAGCCCTCAGGAAAGCTACCATATAATTTATTTTTAATAAAGTTCGAATGAATTAATGCAACGTTGCATTAAATCGAATCTCGTTCCCTGTATCAGCTGAACATTATTTCAAGCGAACCCCACAGAGTTATGTCCCTTGGAGCGCTCTTCACGAATATCCTACGCACAACTTGTGACTGAAACCAGTTCGGCAAACATCGACAACAACGCGTGCGACAGTTTTCGATGTGAGGAGCAATAGTTTACATTCCATGGCAAGTATTTTTTGTTTGGAAGCAGTCAGCCTCGAAGTTTCAATAATCGATTTCAGGCAAGTCGTAAGGGATAAAAGGTCTTAAATTGCACCAACAGGAAGCTAAGTTGAGTGCATATATCCCAATATATATAATATATGCCAAAGTTTTGCCGAAAATGTGTGAAATTGTGCCTTTAAGTAAATTATGTATTTACTGTAAGAATTGCACCACCATGTTTGTCTATGTGTAGGAAAGTAGTAAATGACCCCAATGAGAAGCGATGCAGACATACCTGGGGACGTGTCATTCTGATCGGTGATGCAGCTACAACTGGTCGTAGAGTACACAGTTCCTGGAGCACAGAATCTGGTGATCCAGTTTCCGTGTATCAGTTCCTGATACTGAGCTGTATTTCCTGGCTTTTCCTTCTTCGAGGCGTCGCACAACGACGAGGGAAGGGATGTCAGCGGAGCAGCTGTTGGTGGTGCTGCAGTCGATGGAGCAAATGTTTCCTCTGTGATGGAAAGAAATACTTCTTTGGTTTGCGAAACAAAAAGCCTTTGTACATGTCCAATATCATGGCCCACGCAATTCCTTACTTTGAACCATATACCACAATGTTGTGTCAAGTGAACAATTGACTTGCTGTTTGTGACGGTGTTTGATTGGCATTTTAGAAGATGCTATTTGATGAACATAGAGACTTTTTGGGGTTTCATCTTCTTTTTATTGTTTAGTACAACGTCTCAGGGCTTGTTCTGGCCCCATCATCTGGTAGAACTAAAGTACGATTACTGAACTTTACAGTTACCAACTTCCCAGGTCCTAAACTTTAACCCATGGTAATGTCGAATGAACAATTCATAAGAAATCATATGATATATATTATATTACTAATGTTCTTGTATTTGGTACGTATCATGGACACTGAGGTACTTGAAGAAACATATTGAGTCGGCGTACCTTGTTATACTATGGGGCGGTGGGGTAACCTAGTGGTTACAAATTCGCTTGTCACGCCGAAGACCCGGGTTCGATTCCCCACATGGGTACAATGTGTGAAGCCCATTTCTGGTGTCCCCAACCGTGATATTGCTGGAATATTGCTAAAAGCGGCGTAAAACCAAACTCACTTACTCACTGTTATACTAAGAGGGTAGAGAGCAACCCCCTACCTTCAGCTTCCACTGTGCAGATGACGTTGGCTGGCCAATCACACACCAGATGCTGTTGGTTCCAGTACAATCCAGGACTACACTGCATTCTATGGAAAATAGCAGTTTTGCCGGGTCTGGGTTCTTGGCACAGTATGAACCGGGCACAGTCGCTGGGGTCAGGGATGTATCCAATACCGTTGACATACCGGCAACCACTGCATGGATCTAAAACAATACAAATAATGTCTTTACTTCTGTTGGGATGAACAACAGTGCACCAGGTACTGATCGGAAGGCCCCCACCCACAGCCACCTCGTGGCCACAAAGTCATGGTATTACATTAACCTGTAATTCACAAACAATTTTGCCTCCATAACAGAATGAGTCTGTAAAAAATCTGACATAAGTGACATTTTAGTCTATGCATGTATGTCTATGCCTCCAAGGTGGGAATAGACTAAGATTTTAACATTGCATCCTTCTGTGTTGCAGGTTTCTGCGTATGTGACTGTGGAGGAGCCTACACAGTCAGCACCGCCGTCTCTTGGAGCAGGACTGGTGCAGGTTCTAGTACTTGTGACAGTTCTAGATCCACCTCCACAAGATGCTGAGCACTCGCTTGTGGTAATGATCCAGTTTGACCAGCCCCCATCAACTAGAAATAATCGATGATAAGCGAACTAGACATGATCAAACTTGTGTAATCTGTTAGCTGTTGAGGAACACCATGATGAATTCAGCTGAAACTGCCAAAGAAAGATGCATATTTATGTTCATTACTTCGTTTTGTGTAAAATATAATGAAGTTTGGAACATATTTTTGAGTGGCAGAGACTATGAAATTGTACAATAGTAGACGGCGGTGTGATATATTTAGACTTGTGTATACTGAGACAGAGTTCTGGAAGGCACTACACGCACAACAGCCCTATGGGCCTTTCCTTTGTACTGACTCAGGCAGTTGGAGAATTTTCTGAAGTCTTCTTTCTTTGGGGTATAAGGAGAGCCAACCCTTGCCTATCATCTCACATTATATCTCAAGTTACAAGATCACAATTGTGTGGAGATTATACTGACCCTTGACACTCAGCCTGGGCCTATTTTGGAAACTTCACCATTGTTGCAATGAGGTGAATATTACCATCTTATAAATTCATTTCTTTTTTTGGTATCATACTGCCTCTGAATTTGTACTGAGATTTCTCTTTTGTACTGTTTCTGTAATACCTTTGTAGCGATTTGTATTATGTTGTGGTGTGTTATTTTACACGTACTACAAGTACATATTGTCTGTCATATGAAAGACTAGCATCTACGGCGTTAACACTTTAGCATATGACTAAACGTACCTAGACATCGATTGGTGTTGCAGATCTCTGTGTATCGACCTGTACGTGATCCTACACAGTTCTCTCCACCGTTGCTAGGAGAAGGGTTGGTGCAGGTCCTGCTCCTGGAGATGGTTCTGGAGCCTCCTCCACAAGATGCTGAACACACTCCCTCAGTAACCGTCCATTCAGTCCAGTTTCCGTCAACTTTGTGTAAAAAGAACAGTGAAGTCAGAATGTATATGTGCATGTAATTATTTGTACCTGTATATAATGTGTATGTATCTCTAACAAACACCTTTTCTACGTTTTTACATCTATGGGTGATATCTTTGGGTCTATTATTTTTCAGTATTAACTTTCCAAGTTTTATACTGCCAACAGCAAATGTTTTAGATATACGACTATGCCATACCTGGGCAGCCATTGGTGTTGCAAACCTCTGTGTAATGATCTGAAGGTGATCCTACACAGTCCCGTCCGCCGTTGCTGGGTGCTGGGTTGGTGCAGGTCCTTGTTCTGTTGATGGTTCTAGAGCCTCCTCCACAGGATACAGAACACACACCGGTAGTGTCCGTCCACTCGGTCCAGTTTACGTCAACTGTTGTCAAAAGAACAGATGATACAGATATCAAGGTAGCATAAACACAAATATGTTCAAATCCATATATACATACTAGTCCAGATTGATCACTATATGTTTATATCCCAAAGAGTTCAAAAGTTAAAGGTTTAATTTAGTTTCAGCCATGGTCTCTATCAATTCCCATAGCTCTTTTCTGAAAAAAAATTTACTTTTTCACTAGCTTCTTTTTTAAACTTGAAAAAGGCAAATGTACATTTCTAATTAAAGAGTAAGCTCAATATCAGATTGACATGGTTCAACCCAAAACGTCAACGCCAAAGAATATCAATCTCGATTCTTTGCTGAAACATTTATATGAGTGAATCGATGAAATACAGAAATGACCTGAAGGCTGACTCTCATAATTGATAGAGGGAAGGATATTTCAAAATCAGTACGTAAAGTATTATTTCTAATAACCGATATACAAGATATGACATATGTAAAGGCAGGCGAAAGATTAAGGGTAGACATTAAGGCGAACCTAAATTTAGATTGACACAAAAGTTCATCATCTTTGGTTTAATTTAGATATACAAACTGTTTGATGAATGTTTGGCTTTTATTTTTAAGTTAATTGCTACGATAACTTGCTTACTTATAGAGCGACACCTATTTGAGAATTTATAAAGAAGTGTCAACTTTAGTACCGTGAGATTACCAGCTCTAACTGAAGATGTGTGGCTATAAGGACATTTTTTAAAAATCGTGTTTCATCTTCTCGAGAGGGCAGACAATTGCCATGTCTCATGACCATAACATAGATATTGCATTACGCTTATTGAAAGTATATACAAAACAATGTTATACTGTTCACTTCAAACATGGACAGTATCCTCTTATGTTTTATTCTCTCCCCTATGTTTTATTACCTCCCTTATGTTTTATTCCCACTTCCATTTTTCATAATGTCCCTAGTGTTTTATTATCTCCCCTTAGTTCTATTGAAACTGGGTTTCTTAATTTATTGCATCATGTCAGTTCACTTGTTCTCAGCAGGGCAAGTTGTAAAAGGTGCAAACAAACGTCATGTTAGTGCAGGGCAATTTATCGTTGTGTAGCAAACCTCAACAGTGACGTGCAGACAAACATAAAAAACCAGTTGGAGGATAAGGGTTGAGTCTGTAGTTCTGAGATACGTTGGATATGTTTAAGTTTATGATAGTTGCAAGGTAACAAACAGTATGTTTGTAATGATCATTTCAACAAGACATGTCTGTACATGGTTGTGGGATACCAGTCGCCCAGACTGTGAGTAAATTTCTATTTTAATTATTCTTCCAGATGACTTCAATAGTTTATACAGCAGAGTGCGTCGTTTAGGGTCTATGTTTGGTCACATAATCGTTGTAAGTCTATTGCTGAGTGTTTCTGTAAGGTTTCACTTATATCGAGATCTCTGTAAGCGGTGCAGCTATTATTCAACGTAGACAGAAATTGCTTACACGCCGAAATCCTTTCGACAATAGAATATAACCAAAACTTGTCATTATCCAGTCTTTGGTTCATTAACAGAACAATTGCCCCAACCTGTCTACCAGTGAGGCAATTGTTCTTTGTTAAATATTGATATGTGATTTTGTGTGTGTTTGATTACAATATCCAAACTATTCTACACTTTGTAGCCGTAAAGTGGAAATAATATCGTTAAATCAGATATTTGGTGTATATTTAAGGTTTTGGAGTTGTCTGTATGGTACGTTTGTTTGTTTGTTTGTTTGTTTGTTGTTTAACGCCTCACTCAGCAATATTCCAGCTATAGGGAAGCAATCTGTAAATAATCGATTCTGGTCCAGAAAATCCATTAATCAACATAAGCATTGATCTACACAATTGGGATACGATGACATGTGTTAACCAAGTCAGCGAGCCTGACCACCCGATCCCGTTAGTCGCCTCTACAACAAGCATGGGTTACTGAAGATCAAGTCTAACCCAGATCTTCACGGGTCTGGCAAGTGTATATAAATGTTCATTTAGTTTCACGCGATTTATATTAAAGAACCACTAAACTTTGTTTTTTGTTACTCTTTTAACCATTACATATGAAAGATTTGTGGTTAGTCTTATGCGGAACACCAAATTTATTCTTTAAAAACTTGTGGTTAATTAATACCGAGCAATTAAAAGTGGCCAAAAAGTCGCCTGCTTCCCTCTCGCCCGCCAACGAAACCTCAGACAGGTTACGTAACTGTCGCCACAGCGAACCGGAAGTGACGTCATATGAGGAACGATTTTCAGTTCGTTGTATATAAAATGTGTAGCAAGCTCGTCATTTTGATGATTTTTCGACATCAGCAAAGACATGCCAAATCGTTGCGTTGCCGTCAATTGCTCCAAGGGGTCGGGTGATGGTGTCACCATGCACAGATTTCCACAGGACCCCGCAGTTCGTGCTAAATGGGTTATGTTTGTGAGTGCGAAGCGAGCGTTGTGGAAGCCTGGAACGATATCTTACTTGTGTTCAGATCACTTCTCGGAGGATTGTTATTATCGTTCCTTTGGCTGTGAGCAAAAACAAGAGTTGGGAAAAAGCTCGAGTTACAGTCGTCGTCGTTTAGAGACATGGGCAGTCCCATCGATCCACAAGAAATTGAACCCTCGTTCCGGACCTGTTCCCGAATTTCATATGGATTTTGCTGGGAAGAGGAAGCGACCGGCCTTCGAGAAAAGAGAAAGGAAAAGGGTGAGTCGTTCTTTAAATTCGCAGAAGAGATCATAATTTTATAACTTGTATTAACCACATAATGTCCCACGAACGACATTTACGGACACGTTTCTAGGTCGATTCTCGGCTCTGACCTGCCTAGTAAAAGTAGTAGAATAGAAATCGAGTGACTCGATACCCATCTTGCTTCCAAGATAGAAGTACTCGTGTTAAAAGCCGTGTCATGCAAAATCCTTTCGGACACCATTCAAGTACATATTTAACTACAACCTTAAAGTATGTTTGATTATTTAACTTGATGAAAAGAAACCGTAATCGCATTGATTCTCGAACAGACTTCAGTCCGTCACGTGACGATTTTAAACAAAAATGGCGGCGCCTTGTTGCGAATATATATGCGTAAATGCTATATATTGGGTTTTTTCACAAAGTTACAAAATCAAAACTACTTTCTACTTTTAGTAAAATGTGTATTTGATTCATGACCAAAAGGGCTTTGCATGACACAACTTGTAACATAACGATTTCTACATGTTTTTAGAATCATGTTGAATATGTTTATGTTTCCTGTATCAGACAGTCAAGGCCCTGCTTGACCAAGTGAAGGAAGGCCTCCCCCATGCAGATACTGACAGTAGTAACCCCACAACTATACTTCATGAAGAGGTCAACAGCCAAATGTCATTTCCTTGTCATTACCAGGTAATTCAATACCACCACAAACTTATTCATTTATAATACTTTGATATGTTGGCAGACATAGATTTATCATAATACATGCTTTCTTACAATGACTTTAAACTGAAATCATGAACTTTAAAACATTTTTTGTACTGATCATAAAATCTTGACAGCCAAATGTCATTTCCTTGTCATTACCAGGTAATTCAGTACCACCACAAACTTATTCATTTATAATACTTTGATATGTTGACAGACATAGATTTATCATAATACATGCTTTCTTACAATGACTTTAAACTGAAATCATGAACTTTAAAACATTTTTTTGTACTGATCATAAAATCTTGATGCATACTGAAATTATTATGTAATAATTTATTACACACACTACTTTCATTATTTTTAGTGATGTAGAGACAGATAGTTAATTCCAACTCTAAATTGCATTCTTCAGAGACACTTACCCCTTCAAGATGTGGCTGATGCTTTGCTGTCCTTATCCCAGGTGGATATTAGTACAACCAGTACCCAAAGAACGGATACCACTGAAATGGTTTGTTTACAGAATTTTGATGTTTTATATTTCTCTTTTACTTAGTCGCCTTGCCAGGTGATAACTATGTATCTTCTGATCAGTCATTATCACAACATTAGAGTGATGTCTTCTCAGGAGATTCAATTTTCGGTCAATGAAATGATAGTGATGATAATGTGATAATTCACTCTATATGAAATGTGTGGTATTCAACCCTAATATGCTTTCTTTAGACATCACATTCCAACCTTCAAGATGTGACTGACGCTTTGCTGGCCTTGTCAGGAGTCAGCGCCACGGCTCCCCCTCTAGAAGATATTACTGCCACGTGTACCCAAAAAAAGGATACCACTGAAATGGTTTGTTTGCAGAATTTAATGTCACATAATGCTGTAATCGGAGTCACCAGTGTGTTCCTGTCCTTGTAATGTTTTCAGTAATCCTGAATATGTAGAAATTGCTATTAACCGCAATATGTGTGTGAAATTCTCTGAAATATTGGTGCAGTAGGGGAAAAGTACTTTGCAAGTTGTCTGAGGTGCATAATATCGTGGTTCTCATTTTCTTTCTGAAGTCCTTGAGCTATTTTCACACCTTGTTAATCTTGCCATAGCATCATGTAGCTGCATTTAAACGAAATTTCTCATTCTGTAAGTATTCCTACATTGTTATTATACAATTGAAATGAAAATGTGTTCTTTCCAAATTTCTTTGTCTTAGTAACTACAACTTTAAAACATCTTTGTTTTCTGCAGGAGAACAGAAGTTCAAAGGCTTGTCAGACTCTGAAGAAGGATGGTGTCCATAAAAGATCAGTTCGGATTCAAACTAGACCTCATGTGAAGACAAAAGGTGACTATACTTACACAATTGAAAATTAGGGAAAAAGAAAAAGACCAAAAGTTAAATACTGAAAATGCATAGAATTATGAATATTATATACATGAATAATATGTGTATATTCTTGTCTATGTAATTAGTTACAATTGACTTACATTTTCTTTCTTAACCTCTGGAGTTACTTGGAGTCTGTTGTATGGTGATTAATGGCTTGTACAAGAATTTACATCTTGGATGTTATAAGTCGGATATTATTTTTTATTGAATGTCATTTTTATGGATGCCCATGGCTTTTCACCAAATGCATGTTACATGTCACAATCTTGCAAGATCTTGTGGTCAGGAGTTATGTATGATTGTAATAGATACACATCTGAAAAAAAAATTGAAGGAAGGCCAATGGAAATATAAATGATGTTTTTTTGCAGCTACAAGTACTGAGTCGGTCTCAGTGGTATCTGTCGGTGTACAATGTTCACTTCTGCAAACACCTACTGTCCCCATGGAGGAAGAGGATATCAGTGAACTTGACCCGGGCACTGACCAACATTTGGAGTGTGAGAAAAATGATCCAACCTGGCTGCCCCAGGACAGAGAAGAGGAAATTGAGGAATTTGAGGAATTTACAAAATTTACAAGGTTAGCCTAATTGTCAAACAAGATTGAGTTAGTTGCAGACAAGGTTCAGACAAGGCAACGGTCAAATCAAAACTGCTTCCTTATTGATCTGGTTTTCTTGTTTCGCTATAGGGGACCCAGCTGAATTCTCAGGTTACTGGCATGAATTTCAAAATTAAGTATCTAAATAAACATTCCAGTATATTCTGTACAAAAGGATTTTTTTCACACAGTTATATTACTTCTAAAGTTATGAATCTTATTGTACCAACCACTGTCAAATATACTATATATAACATTCAGGTATACTGCTCATTATATGTTTTCATTCCATAAAGACTATGAAAAAGCATAAGTTAAAATAAAAGATTAAATTAAAGTGGATTTCAGAGATGTTATAAAACCAATATTAATCATGGAGCCATTCATTAAACAATACCTTACATGATCCGAATTAAATGCTAGCTCTTCTATTCTCTGTACCCAGAATGAAATTAATTGATCTCTAAGGATTTGACTAAGGTTCCATAAAGTAAAAGTTGATGTGTTCCTTTTCTTTCAGGGAATCCACATCTCCAATGGATGACCGAAAGTACCTTGTGTTTGAGGGTCAACTTTTGAAACTGTTTGCAACGTGTCCTGTGTGTTGCTCAGAAACAGTTGTCAGGCGTAGCTGTCAAGGAACTCTCTTGGTGATCTTACAGACTTGTCATTCCTGTTCCTTCCACCGTGACTGGACTAGTCAACCCTTTCTAGGGAAATTTCCGGCTGGAAATATCCTTCTATCTGCATCAATACTGTTTTCAGGATCATTGCCTATTCGGGTGTTTACTATGTTAGAGCATTTAGGACTTGTTTCGATGAGTATGCAGTCTTTTTTCAAACATCAACGCAACATCTTGCACCCAGTCATTGAGTCAGTGTGGAAAAAAGAACAGCAGGCTCTGATCACTGGCCTGAAAGAGGAAGGATCTCCACTAGTGCTGGGAGGCGATGGCCGGGCTGATACTCCTGGACACAACGCCAAGTTCGGATCCTACTCCATGATGGACTTAAAGACCAAGAAAGTTGTTCATGTCGAGCTGGTTCAGGTATTTACTTTTTAACTTTTGCATAACTTAATCTTATGAATCACTTTCATAGCTGCTACTTGAATTATAAGATAAAAAAAACATGTATTTTCTGTTTGGGTTAAGTATTTGTCATTTATATTGATTAGGTCAATGTTGCTAATGGTTAGAGTCGCAAACTTGAATTGTTCATAAGGTTCAATTATTAGCTGAAATGTTGTGAGGACCGTTTTGCATCTAATCGTCTAGTCATAAAAGTGGAATGTGTGTCGTCAATTTACTGTGTGTAAGTTGACCATAAAGTTAAAAAAGTGAAGTGACGTGTGTATTGTTATGTCAGGTGTGTCTCGTTAGTTTACTGGGTGTAAGATGACCATAAAGTTAGATAAGTGAAGTGACGTGTGTATTGTTATGTCAGGTGTGTCTCGTTAGTTTACTGGGTGTAAGATGACCATAAAGTTAGATAAGTGAAGTGATGTGTGTATTGTTATGTCAGGTGTGTCTCGTTAGTTTACTGGGTGTAAGATGACCATAAAGTTATATAATTGAAGTGACGTGTGTATTGTTATGTCAGGTGTGTCTCATTAGTTTACTGGGTGTAAGATGACCGTAAAGTGAGAAACCTGACCTGAGATATTTTTTTTTCCAGTCCAATGAAGTAAAAAATTCTAACGCTATGGAAAAGGAGGGGTTCCAGAGGAGTGTCCAACTTTTGCAGGCAGAGGGTTTGACACTTAGCACTTTAATAACAGACCGTCACCCTCAGATCCAGAAGTTGGTGAGAGAAACCATGCCAGCAGTCTCTCACTTTATGATGTGTGGCATGTGGCTAAAGGTAGGTCACAGGGCTATACAGTTCTTATTTCGTCAGTTTAGTTTACCAAATAATGATTTTTGTTGCAAGCTACCTATACACAAATACATGCTTGATGCACTACAGGTTGAACATGGGCACATGACCATGTACACAATGAGAGCTTATTCCTACATTTAGACTCCTACGCTAAATGTTTCAACTCTAATTATGATTCCGTAAAAATTCTTGTCGGAGGTCTTGTAAAGGCCTGGTAATCATTTGATAAAATATTGGCATGTCAGCGCTTACTAGAGGAAATATGGCACGCATATGATTTCATTATAAGGAATTGCTTTGGCTATTGCGGACGTAAACTGTTTTCTTGTTGTAGGTCTCCGAAAGAAACTGGAAGCTTTAGCGAAGGAGAAAGATTGTGAAGCACTGAGCCCTTGGATCAAAAGCATCGTTAACCACCTTTACTGGTGCGCCGCGTCCACCCCTCATGGGGATCCGGAGCTGGTGCTAGAGAAGTGGCGCTCCGTGATCAACCACGTTCAAAACATTCACGTGGGTCACGGAGCAAGGTTCAACGAATGCCAGCATCCCCTGGAAGGAAGCGAGGCACCCAAAAAGAAGTGGTTGAAATGTGGTGTGTATTGATGACATTATTTAGTACTAATATAACCAATTACATAAAGGATAAATAAATAGTATTTAGATTGATCTGTCATAGTCAAAGAGATGGAACTTGATATCTTTCTGAGTTACAAGTAACAGCATAAGGTTAAATTTGTTGTTCAGGCACCAAAGCTGCAGAGAAGCTTGGTCTATTGTTGGAAAAGCCACGCCTATTGAAAGACGTCAGGAAGATCTCCCACAGTATCAAACGTCGGCAGTGGAAAGCTTCCATCGGGTCATCATCAACTTTGCCCCCAAGATGGTTGGTTTCTCCTACATGGGCATGCTCTCCAGGTAAGAACAAAATCGAATAAAAGTACCATGAACCGACTCATTGGCAACCATGATTAACTTCTAGTTGCGTATTTCATTCTTACTGATTCTGTGTCTTCAACCTGACTGGATAATGAGATTGATAATTTAAATAGGTAAAATGAATAATTTCTACTATTATGAGGATTATGAGTTACATTTTCTTTTAAATATTTTGCAGGCTGTATTTGTCAGCAATGCATTTTAATGAAAACGGCACCCGACCTCAAGCACATGATGACAATGGAGAATTTAAGTTCAGGATAAAATACAAGAAATATAGGAAGGGACAACATGTGCTGACAAAAGCAACAAGTGACATGACTCATGGTATGTTTGTACAAATTATTTCACACGTAATATTAACCCATTTTAGCCAAACATTTTTTATTCTCCGTAACGCGTTTTGCGGGGGGTATTAAAATGGACACTGTCTGTGCGTCCGTCCGTGCACATTTGTCTTTTCCGGAGCAGAACTCTAAAACTCTATATTTCTTTACCAAACTTGGCACAGACAGATCTGGTGGTGTACTGGTAGTTTTGGGATTCTGAATAAAATATTTTTGGCGTTTCCATGGCAACAAGTTTACATAGCCTGAAATTGGTGATAGTGCTTCTTTATGGAGCAGAACTGTAAAAACCTTTCAATACTCTCCTTGCACTTTTCTATGTATACATCTAAATATTTGACATAATCATGTAGACAATCATGTAGAGTATTTTGCCATTGCTGGGGATATTGATGACTTTGTCTTCTTGTTTCATATAAATTGTAGTCAGAATATTTTTGATTGACACAATACAACAATAAAGAAGTTCATATCATTTGACCTGTTGTTTTATTACGGTAAAGGGTCACCAGTCCATTTCACATTCATGTTTCACATTCAAATGATTGAGTAAGATTTTCACTTGTTTATTTTTTATTCAGACTATGTTGGAAGACTGCTGACAGAGGTGTGTAAACAAGCCAGGCAGAGGCGAGAACACAGAGCTACCACGTCACACATTGTTGTCCCAGTACCCTTAACAAGCCAGTTTCCTCGAATCAATATGGACCAAGCCATTCAATCTCATCTATCGAGATTCAACAACTAAGCAGCTCAATTCATGCAATTTCTATTATAACATTCATTCTGTCCGTCCTTCCATCCTGAAACTTTTTTTACCGGTATTCAATGTTCACCAATTTCTGGTGTTGTAATTGACTTTACAAATGTATTCATGGCCTGTATGTCTATAAATGCATAATAGACAATCCAGCAAACATGCAAAATATCCTCATGTTTGAAAATGTGTATCAGTTATTATTCAAGTAAAAAGGAAAAGGTTTTTTTGTACAAGAATAATTTATTTAACAGAATTGTTAACGATAAATACAATAACATATCAAACAATAAATTTACAGTACATTTAACTTGTCATCATGTCCATTTTAACGATAAATACAATAACATATCAAACAATAAATTTACAGTACATTTAACTTGTCATCATGTCCATTTCACAATGTAGAGTAGACATTATACCCATGTACGAAATACAGAATTTGACTGTTCAAGTTGTTCCTTTATTTGTCCAGTTGAGGATACTTGAACCCTGCATATTCAGGGGAAGGAAATCGTCCTCTTATCTTGTTGACGACACAGGAGGGTATGACAACACGAACTTTCCGCCCTAAGAACTGCCAACACCATCGCACGAACTGCCGATATGCTGTATATCTGTATTTCCTATGAAATAAAAGTGTAAAGTAAGTTTGATTCAAATTGTATTCAACAGAATGCACTGATTAGATTCTGGACTAGTCATCTTTTTACAACAGCTACAGTTTAAAGTTTACAGTTTACTTTACTCCTCAGAACACAAAATGATTCTAAAAACCATGCCATGCTCACTTATGAATGTCTTGGATCTCCCCTCTTCCATACTCCTGGCGGTAGTGGTAGTAGGCTGTCTGCAGTGCATACACACTGAGACAAACTTGCTCGAAGCCAGGGTGGTCAGTGATGCAACTGATCTGATCTTCATGCTCCTCCATCTTCTCTCTCACTGCAGCCTGTTCATGACAGCAACAGCATTCCTCAATGGTAGGTTGAGTCTCACATGTGTCACAACTGCACCTGCAAGGATTTGAAAAAAACTGTTAATAATAAATGTTGTATCATTTTTCAATTGACTGGTATTTATAAAATTCTTATTTATTTATTTCATCTCTTACATATTAGGGTGATACAATCAAGTACTTTTTGTTAGCAGTTTTAGGAATTCCTTCAGATTATGAACAAAATGAGAGGCACTATATTCACTCAAGCTAAGCCAACTGGTTTAAACTTTGATTCCCAATAAAGATGGGACCTGACTGGTAAGCATTCAATGTGCTTGTACGATAACTGCTCCGGTAAACCATGACAGAATGTTTACACCATGATCAAATACAAATACACATGCCAATGAACATGTAAACTGACATAAAATTTTATAGATTCCTACAACTGTACCCAGTAATGACATTTCATATGCGGAAGTGGTATTTTTCTGGGCCTATTATTCTCAGCTGTGTAGTAAATGTATATAATAAATCGGATGGCTCGCCCCCTACCTTGCTTCCAAGTTTGAAAAGGCTTTTCAGAGTTGTCATGCAAAATCCTATTAACCATCTATTAAATACATACTTTACTACCAGTAAAACGTAATATTGATTTTGTAATTCGGTGAAAACAAACCTAAACATTTATTCCCAGACTGGCGGATGTTTGCGCATGGGCGCCGCCATTTTAAAAAATAGTTACGTCTCGGGCTAAAGTAAGCTCGAGAATCGATGAGATTATGGTTTGTTTTCATCAACCTGGAAAATCACAACTGATGTCTACTCGTAGTTGCATATGTATGTGAATCATGACCAAAAGGATTTTGCATGACACAACTTGTAACATAACGATTTCTTCCACGGAAGCGAGGTGGTGTTCAAAGTGACAAATGCGGTATGGTATTACCCGATACATTTCAAGCTACAGTACATTCACGTGGTTGACGTCCACTCACCAGTATGTAGACACTAGTCGATCTTCTTCCTGTAACCGTGATGAGCAAGACTGGTCACCGTTTTCACTATCACTAGCGTCCGGCTCGAACAAATAAGGCCTTGCAATTGTTTCTTCATTGGTATCCGAGAAACAGTCACTGCTTGTGGACTGGCAATCCATGGAAAGGGAAAGACTGTCGCTGTCTGAATAACTTCCGGACATGTCAGAGTCTGCTTTGTAACGAAATGCCAATCCACCGAATTAACCATATTTAAGTCACTTGACATAAATGTTTTAACACAAGAGTAAATTGGGGAACAAAAGTCAGACCAAGCCAACAGGTAACCCCTTATGACAACAGGCGAGTTTCACAGAATCGTCTTATAAAAACAAGCTGTAACTCGGAAGCTTGGCAAAGCAGGTGACAAGATTAAATGACAGTAGATTGTGAAAACATAAAGCTTTCACTGTTCACAACAATTGTCACGATTTCAGGTTTATACAAGCCTGTACACAAGATAATTTACCCCCCTAAAATGTAGATGAATACTGCATAGGCCCTCAAAGCTATTCCTCATATGACGTCACAGAGTCGCGCCGCTCTGATTGGTTGAAATTTCGTTCGCGGGTGAGAATTGTGCACTGTTGTCAAAAAGGTCGATTTAAGTCAATTAAAGGTCGAAATGAGTAGTTTTAATGACGGGGTTTCATTTATAACGATGCCAGTTAGTGATTTATGTATTTTTACCCCCTAGGGTTTATGTGACCTTTAAGGCGTAACAGATTTTTTATGTTAATAGGTTCCAAATAATGCGCCTATATATTTGTTTATTTAAATATTTCCAATGTCAACATACTGGTCTAAGCATGACACAAATACATTTGTTTTGGTGATACAATAATCATTTTTATAATAAGCATTTTTAATCGTGTGTTATTTAAGATAAGTTCAATCTGAACCATGATGAGATGAGTTACCAACGATTGTGTCTTGTATCCTGTTTCAACACTGTCTCAACATGTCTTCTGTAACATATAGCTATTCAGTACTTGAACAAGGGCTTGTCATATTCAGAAAGGGACAAACATGTCCTCTGTTGCTGATTCGTAAGATTTAGCTTCTGAATAGTTGCAAGTACATCCTTTTAAATCAATGTTTTGGACAACAATATCATCTTTTTTTCTTTCACATCTCTCGTTATTACAAATAGTTCTATAGTTTTCTAAAATTATGAGTTTTGTCCTGTTACATCAATTATATTTTGTGTAATCCCGATTATTTTTAGGTGTTTCGAGTCTATAAAAATTCATTATCGTAAATTCAATTACTGTCTCGTTATGATAATATTTATTGAAATTGACCGTTTTCACCTTAGACTATTTTTCGTAACTTCAATTGTTTTCTTGAAGTTTTGAGTTTACAAAAAACTTGAAATACCGACAGAATGATTGAAATTACGAGAAAGTAAACAAACAGTCGAGATAAGATTTGAAATGTAATAACAAATATTTGAATAAGAAAACATTTCGATTTAACATAATAATTTATGTTGCCAATGCGTGACCATTAGCCTACCGTATTACCACCAAAGAATCCGAATATTATGATAGTACTGGAGACATTTCCTATATCCCCTCTAGTTCTGTTATTTGATTAATACAGTCTTGCTGATATTGGCTTTGATAACATTTAGATTTGTGTGTTCATTTTTACGACAACCAATAATTACCTGTAGGTATTGTTAATAATGTTCTTATGTGAGTTTGACTGATATCATCAATACACTATTCCTTCGTGCGACTAACTCTCTCACACTAAAGCCATAACTCACAAGATTTAAACACTGGACAGATAACTT